CTCAAACGAAGCCTAACTTTCAATAAATACAAGCTATGATCTCATCCAACATAAATTTAGGCTTCGTTTGGGACGGTTTTTTTACTGCTTTCTAAATATGCTTCTTAATACAAAACTTTCTAGTTCAAATACTAGAAAGCCGCTTTAGAAAGTAATAAAAACGCCGTCCCAAACGAAGCTTTTGTTTTAAATCAGAAGGAAATAAATTTCGGCAAACATGAAAATTAATTTCAGCATTTATAAATCAGTTCAATAACATTTGATGTTCAACAAAATAATTTAAATATGAAAGAACTCCCTTTGGTTTGGTGCAGAAATTTTGATCATGAGATCAGAAAGTAAAATATGTTTCAATTTAAAAAATATATTTATGAATTTTAATAAAATAAAAAACAAATCATGAAAGAATTTTATAAATCATAAATTCTAATTTTTGCAAGAAAATTTATTTATTTGTTTGTGAGCTTACTTTTATGAACTTCTACAACACAACATTCCTTAACTAAATTTATGATATGTGTGTATAAAGCTCTATTGCACGTGACTTGATCCAATTAAATTGTTTGCATAGCTTATTTGGCCATCTTAGTATAACATGTTATTAAGTTGAATCGAACTTGTCGTGATTCTTGTCTAATTAAAATATTTAATTAACATATTAAATTATTCAAACATATATTTATTATCATCAAAATTCAAATAATGAACCTTGAGCTAAATAGAGCTAATAGTCACGAGAGTTCACTGGGGCATGCATCGACGAACCAATTACCTGTGAAAGAGAAGAGGCGACTGTGGTAGCTGATTGAGGGTAGGCATCGATGCACCATTGACGTGTGAAGGAGAAGAGGAGCTGAAGATGGGAATCATTAAGGGAAGGCACCAATGGATTGACGGCATGTAAAACAGTTCATGATAGAAACCATTGGGGGCAGACATCGATGGACCAATAATGTGTGAAGGAAAATAATAGTTGGTGATGGGTGTTGTTAAGAGCAAGCATGGACAAGATCAACAATGTGCAAAGGAGAAGAGGAGTTCATTCATCCTGAAGGGTTTGGATATTTATAGTTTCAAATCTTGATTTGAATGACATACCATATGAGAGTTCTAACCCAATTCAAATCAAGATTTGATGTTTTTTTTAAATATTGATTAAAAATTTTCTTTGATTCAAGTTTGAAAAAATGTTCAAATCAAATTCAAACCAATTCAAATTAGTCTAATTAGAACCGATTCGATCAATCTTTGAATGAAGGTTTCGTTTGGAACGGCTTTCCTACTATTTCTTAAAGCAGTTTCCAGTACAAAATTCTTTCTTTTGTATTGAAAAGCTCCATTAAGAAGTATAATGAAAGCCATCCCAAATGAAGCCCAAGTCCAATGAGCAGTTTGTGAATACAATATATCATTCTTCATTAGGATAATTTTATCAAAATAAATTTTTGATCACATTTCTTCAAATAATTTTATTTTGAATATTCAATTATATGTATTCTGAATCAAATGAAGTCTATTTTTTTTGAAAATTTTAATAATTAAAAAAATAGAATTAAAAAATATTTCTCATAAAATATATTTTTTTTATAAAATTCTAGTAAAAACAAAGACTCCCCTACCATGTCATGTCGTCGGTTGGATTCCAGTGTTTCTTTCTGGACAAATTATTAGGTTCGGTCACTAGACTTATCTCTGCGTTTGGACTCCAATATGAATTTGACATTTGGAGGAATAAATGTGAATTTTTTTAATATAATCTTTTTGTTTTAATATATTTTAGCCTGACCCGACCTGGTCCACTTTATTTTCATTTTAAACATTGCTGCTATTTTAGAAACCCGCAAAAGATCTAAATGTTTATTGCTTTAGAAGAAAAAAATGAGCTAGAAAATTGCAAAAAAGAGATGGAATGCTCACGGAAGAGAGAGGAGAAAGGGGTGCATGAATCGGAAGGGATGAATGAATCGGAAGGGGTACATGAATAAGAAGCTAACTTAGCCGAAAATTCTTTAGGTTTCAATAAATCGATAAGTTTCAATCTCATCGCAAGTTGTATTATTGAAAAACGAGCTAGAAAGTTATAAACAAAGCAGTGCTGTGTAAAAAAGGGCATATGTTTCAGCTCATTAGAGGCTCAGGATCTTAGATGTTGTTGTTTATCTCCCATTAGTATTTTTAGGAAGAAGAATATCATTGTTTTGGCAAAAAAGTAAAAAAAAAACTCTTAGTTGTTGTTGTTTAGCTTTCAATATTGCTTTTATGAAAAATAACATCATTATTTTTAGCATTGGTAAAGAAAAATATGATGAATAATTATTGTGTTTTATGTGCGCTTTATGTGCTCTTTCGTTGCGCTTTACTTGCGCTTTAGTTACTCTTTTAATCATTTCTTATCATTTCAGACTGTTTATAAAGATGAGAGAGAAGCATATGAATGTTATTGTACTTATGCCCATGATAATTGTTTTAATGTCTGGAAGGATCATCACAGTTTCTAACCAAATTCTAGAGAGATAAAATCAAAGGATTTTATATATTCAAAAGCTAGTTTCAAGAAAAGTATTGATCTTAATTCAATAAGGAGATTTACTAAACCAGATGTTAGAACTGGTTGCCCATCCATGATGAGGTTTGCAGTTGGTGAAGATGATAACTTGCATGTCAAAAAATTTATTGAATCCCACAACCATGAATTGGCTAGCCCAGCCGACCGACATCTTCTGAGATCATGTAGGAATGTTATTGAGGAAAAAGCTTCCATCCAAAAATCAATGACATATATAGGGATTAGAATCGTTGATGCATATGCCTACCTTACAGAGAAAGTTGGATGATAAGAGAATGTTGGATTCTCTAAGAGGGATGCCTATAATTTTATTCAGAAGGAAAAAAAACAAGGATTGAATTTGGTGACAATAATTCTTTGATTAAATTATTTAAAGATCTACAAGTTGAGGACCACATGTTCGCATGAGATGTTCAAAATGATGAGCATGATAGATTGTTAATTTTTTTCTAGGTTGATGGTAGAGGCATGATAGATTATGAATGTTTTGGGGATGTGTTGATTTTTAATATTAGCTACAAGCTCAATAAGTATAATTTTGTATGTGCATCATTTGTTGGTGTTAACAATCATTTGTATAATATTTTGTTAGGGGTTATTTTTTATTAGAAGAGACAATTGAAAGTTTTACATGCTTGTTTAAAATATTTGTACGAATAATGAGTAATAAATATTCAACAATAATATTTTCTGATCAGGATCAAGCTATGACCAGGGCCATAGAAGATGCATTACCTCACACTCGTCATAGATTATGTCAATACATATCTTTAAAAAGGTTCCATCAAAAGTTCTTATCTTCAATAATAAAGCCAAAGGACTCTTTTATAAGTGTATGAGGTGGTGCGATTCTGAGGAAGTGTTTAAGGAGGCATGGGCTGAAATGATCAAGGAAGAGAACCTTCATAACCATGAATGGTTGTAGGATCTTTATAAGATAAGGAAAAAATGATCAACAACTTTCAACAAGGATTATTTTAGCATATACATTTTATCAATGCAGCATAATGAGTTTACTAATAATATGTGTCGTGGCATTTGGAAGCCAACAAATTCATTAATTGATTATTTTATTAGGTTGGAAAAGGTATTGATGAATTGACGATGAAATGAACATGATGAGGAGTATAAATGAAGTCAGTCTAAAATTATTTATGTGATAAAGAACAACTCAATATTAAAACAAGCTGCTCGGTTTTACTAAAAAAAAAAAACTATATTTATTTTTTGAGGAATAATTTTTATAGGTTGTGGGAGAAATGAGTATAGACTTCGTCTCGACTGATTCTTCAAAGTTTATAGTCAACTACATAGAGAATAAGGACCAACATCATTCTTGGGTGGTTGACTTTGATGCAATAGAATGTAGCATTCTATGCAGTTGTAGAAAGTATGATATCATGAGATTGTTGTGTTCTCACTATTTGAGGGTTTTAAAACAGTTGTATATCACTAAAGTTTTTGAGAAGTATATACTACTAAATTGACCAGCAAGGGCTCGACAAGATATTTATTTAGGTAACTTGGGAAATGCTCAAAGAAGTAATAACTTTGAAAATGATAGGGGATTTATATTCAGAAATCAAGTGAGAAAATTTGCATATCAAATGAGCACAGAAGCTCAAGAGAATGAGGAGGCAGATGATCTTCTTGCCTCAATGAAAGGCATGGTTGAAAACTTATATTTAATTTTTGTGGCAAGAAAAAAAATCAGAACTATGTTGCAAGATTCTAAGGTGGAAGTGCTAATTTGAAAGATCCTCTAAAGCTTAGACTTAAAGGCATATCAAATGCAAGACTGAAAAGCCATTGGAAAAATAAGAACAAACTAAGAGTAAGTTTTTAATAACCTGTTAATTATATAATTCCTTACCTAAGACTAAAGTTGTAGGTTCTAACATATAAGAAACCTTTGTCGAGGGGAAAAAACAATGGATAATCCTTCTTCAACACAGATGAACTTTCATATGCCACACACTATACCTATAGTTCATTTTTTTATTATGTCTTTGACTTAGTAGATTAGGGTTACTTAATTGATATGGATCAAGTATGATACTATAAATGTGAGCATAGCATTGATCAATTATTTTTTTTTAATTGATTAATCAATATTTCAATACACACGCCAATTACATCATTGTCGGACTTCAGCTATGCTCACATTTATAGTATCAACTAAGTAACCCTACAATGTGTGCCCAAGCTCACCAGTTGAGCTCGAGCTCATCATATGTGCCCAAGCTTGAGGTTGAGCCTGCCTTGAGAGTAGAGGAGCCAAAACTCGAATTAGCACCGGCTCTAAACTCAATTCGACTTATTTATAATCGTCGTCTGGGATGAGTATGAGAAGCACCATTCTTCAATAAAATAGGCGTTGGAATAACAATTTTCTTCTATAAATACAACCTCAGATATACCTAAGGCCACTCCTGTCCAGTCCGGCTATGAAGCAATCGCTCCTCCGCGCTCCCAAAGCGGGGTTTCCATTGCGCGGGAAAACGAAGAAGGTCCCGCTTCCCATTTTCAATCCCCAGGGGAGTCCTAATTCCGAGTGTCTCGATGTTTCCTTCTCCGCTTCTCCTCCTCCAATTTCCAAAATCACTGACAACCTTTCGGTTACTTCATCGAATTCGGTGAACGCCGCGGCTGGAGATCTTGATGAGGTAGAATCGAATTATTCGATGATTTCTCTTTTACTGGAGAACTCCGATCAATCTGGGCTATCAGAGTTTCCACCCGTGCCCTTGCTGGAACCCGTCGGAGCTGCTACGGAGAACCTGAGGGGAGCGAGCACATCAGTTGAGCCGGCGGTTTTCACTGAAGATATTGTAAGAGGCGGACGAAGTTGTGCGGAGGAGGTGAGCTCCTAACTAAAATATTTTTTCTCTTCTCTAGTCCTTGATATCCCATCATATGATGAGCTTCCTATGTTTCTAGATCTTAACGGAGTCGTCGGAGATGACCGCTCAACCAGAAGCTCAGATCATCCTGGAAAATTGCTCTGCGGAGGATGAAGGAGAGCGGAATCTGGAGTTAGCGATAGCTGGATTCTCAGAAGCGATGGAGAAGCTCTGCGATGCGATCAGGGAGGTGTTATTGCCCCAAATTGAACAGAGGAAGCGACGAAACGGGAGTGATGGTGTCTTCTTCTTCCTTGTAAGGGTGGGGGAGCTGACGCTGGCATTCTTTATCGGTGCTGTGCTGGTCTCCGTTCTCCTCATCGCGGTGGCTTCTGAAGGCTACCTAATCTTGAATAACTTGTCGGAGTTCAACGGACCTGCTCCGTCGTGATTCAGTCGGCCAGGTGCTGGAAATAGTTAACCGTAAGTATATTTTTCTAATGGGAGTAAACTTAAAACTATGATTTCTGTGTTCAAGGTCATCCTAGTTGATTTTTTTTTTTTTTTTGCTGCTTTAGGTGGTTTTTAAAGACTTTCAAGAAAAGCAACATATCGATACAATTCTTGGTTATTTGATTTGAAAATTAGTTGTAATCAGATGATTAAAAAACTGAAGATAATCCTATCGGATAAAAAAATTGTATAAATCAATTGATGCGTAAAAGTAGTTATGATAGATAGATAGAAAGAGTTTCCTGTATTTCAGTTGAGATTTGCACACCCTATTACAATCGAATCGAATCAGAAGTCTTAAAGCAAATCCATGGTTCAGTGTTCCAACAAAAGCTCGAGATGAATAAAAAATCTTAGAGCAAATCCATGGTTTATGGAAACAATTTTATTACAGTCATGTTAGAAATGACTTTTCTTTATTAAGAATTTTATTCTTGATAGGACATAATGGATAAAACTGATTCATACAGCCGGCCCCATATAATGAGATAAAGGCTTGTTGTTGTTGATGTTGGGCAATTTGATGTTAATGTGATGTATTATTGCTTTTAGAAACATTGATAATGTGGCAGTGAATATGGTTCTAGGAGATAGTTGGGTGAGTAGAATTTTTAAGAAATCTTCAAACTTCATACATAATCGAATTTGTATTGACATTTAGCAAGAATTCCACTTATTTTTTTTTTATTTAGTTTTTTTTTTTTGGATTGCATTGGACTAGGTCCCTTTCTCTTATTGATTTGATTAAAAAATTATTATATATTTACATGTATTCTTCACCATTGAATTAAAAGAAAGACAACTTTTTCGTTTCCTCCGACCGAATTTTGTTCGGCTTTTTGCTTTGAATGGGATACCATTTGGGCGGAGAAGGAAACCTTCAGAACCCCTGACATTGTTGAGAATGTAGGAATTTAACATATTTCTAGATCCAACACCGTAGGTTGCCCTTTGCCTCCACTGGCTTCCAAAGCACCAGAACTATAGATGGATGATCCCTATTTCAAGATCATTCCCTATTTATCTTATGTTGCAACTCGCTTTCCTGATTCGCAAAGATCGTCTTCAATGGCCCAATCAAGTGTCTTCTCAGATGTCAATGAAGTTAGAATGGAAGATCCTCTCAACCCTTTTTACATCCATCACTCCGATAACCTCAGACTCACCCTCACCTTCTAAATCTTGACAGGAGAAAACTATGGATTTTGAAACCGAGCTAAGTCCATTGAACTCTCAGCCAAAAATAAGGCTGGTTTAGGGACGACTCAGTTGGTCGCCCGGACAAGATTGACCATACTCTCCTTAACATCTGGTATCACCTACCGACCCAACTCTCATCTTATGTGATAATTAGGATGCCATCCACATTGCTACAAATCCCACTTTTCACGAACGTACAAAACGCATTAGGTTATATTGTTATTTGTTCATGAAAAAAGTGAATAATGGCTCTGTCAAACTATTCCCTATCCAGTCTCTCCTCTAGCTCGCCGACATCCTTACTAAATCGGTTTCATCCCCTCATCTATTTTCAGTTCTATGCAAGATGAGCGTGTTAAATATCTACTGCTTCTCTTGAGAGTGAGTATAAAGAAATCCCTTTTTTTATATAGTTTTTTTTTTCTTTGGATTACATTGAATTGGGTTGCTTTCTCTTACCGGTTTGATTAAGGAATTACTATATATTTTACATGTATTCTTCACTACCGAATACAAGAAAGATTTTTTTTTTTGGTTTCCTACGACCTCTCTATCGTTTTTTCCGATAACATTTGAAGAGCAAGCTTAAGGGCTACCAAAAAGAAGAGATTTGGATGATGAAGATATTAATAGATTGGAGAACTTAAAATTAGAACAATTAGGAGGTATTAAGAATAATCCTCTCACTTCAGTGTTGTCGAATGAGTGAATGTATTCTTCTAGCTAGTCTTAAATTATCCTAAGAAATTATTCATTGGTGATTAAGATCAAGATGTAAAGACTATAAGTGCATTTTGAAATGAGATTAATTACTCGAATTTCTTATCTTAGATAGAATCTACTAACATTGATGAAGCTCTACAAGATCATATAGGATCAATGCAATACATGAGAAGTTAAACTAATGTATAAAAAATAATGAATGAGATTTAGCTCCTATACTACAGGTTCAATATGTGAATGGAACAAAATTGAGTTCAAGAATTGGGCAAATGATTCAAGGATTACATTCAGGATAAGGCGAGATTAGTTGCATAGAGTTATATTCAAATTGATAAGATCGACTTTGAGAACTCATATGCGCCTATATCTAAATTAGAGGCAGTTATATTACTCTTCACACATGTATGTCACAAGAAAGTTAAGCTATATCATATGCATGTCAAAAATGCTTTTTAAAATAATGTAATAGAACAATATGTGTTTATAAAACAACCATCAAGTTCTAATGATCATGTTCATCCAAACTATGTGCATGAATTAACGAAAATATTATATGGGTTTAAGCAAACACCTAGAGGTCAATATGAAAAATTGAGTATATTTTTTATTAGTATTGGATTTATAATATAGACGCCATAGTGTTTATAAAGAAAGTGGGATATGACATGATTATTCTTATATTTATGTGGATGACATATTTTTCAAAATTACAAATGATTCATTATGTCATGGTTTTATTTCAAATATGATTAAGAGATTTTGAGTGAGTTAGATGGGGAGACCTCATATTCTTTCTTGGATTTCATATGAAGTAAAAGGATGAAGGATTTTTATTTCTCAAGTCCATAGGAACGCTCATTAGCCCTACAAAAAGTTAAATAGCGATGTAAAAGAAAAAGCAATCGAGTCTAAATTGTATAGAGGCTTGATAAGATCACTGCTTTATCTAATAGCTATCAAACCATTCATTATGTTTGCAACAGGGTTATGTGCTAGAAGCTAAATATATCTTATATCACAATTAATTGTCATAAAAAGTTTTTTTAGATGTTTGATTGGTACACACATCGTAGGACTATGTATCAGGAGTCTTTATTTAAGTTTTTGGATTTTTTTTAATGCAAACAATGCTGGATGAAATGTCTATTTGAAAAGCACTTCAACACATTAATTCATAGGACTTTCATTAGTATTGTGGTCCACTAAAAATAGAATTCAACTATTTTATCAACAATAAAGGCATAATATGTTATTGCAGGAAGCTATATCACACAAGTAGATTTGAAGATACTAGTGGGATAAATCTAACATAAACCCCACACAAGCACACAAACAAAATATATATAGATTGGTCCAACTTTATTTGGAATCATGTTGCCTAAGGTGATGTAATTGCGGAGTTTGTTACTATGGATCATTAGCTAGTATACATATTCATAAACCCCCAATTGACAAAAAATTGATTTAGTATTCTGAGATGGAGATTACTAATGCTAGATCTTGCATTATAAATAATTTTGGATAGGTCAGCTTATGTTTTACAAGTTTGCCTTCCATCATGTCCCAATCTAGCATTTGATATATATAAAAAAATTGCAAAAATATGACATTGTCAACAAACACACGTTAACTTTTTTTGTCCTCCATTTAAGCTAATGAGAGCTTTTAAAGTCCATCGAGTGATCGTTAACCTATTGACTAATTTATATGTTTAATGAATAAAATACTATGGTTTAACAACAATCACATCACCTTTGACTATATAAAAAATTGAGATGATTCGTTTTGAAACCCTGCCTTATGCCAATTTCCCACCACTTACACTTAACCCTCTCTATCCTTCGTTGCATTCTCTTTCTTATTTTATTTTCTATAATCACTCATCCGAAGAGGTTTAGTTACCCATAATAAGGGAAAATGCCAATAGGTTGTAGAATACCTAACAACTCTCATCACAATATCAACAGAGAATCTATTAATGCCTACATGCATATTTACTCACCTATTGACCTTGGATGTAATATAATGACCTTATTTGGAAGATCTAATCTTAGGTTCCTCCTTTAGTATTTTTGCGGGCTAGAATATTCGTGGTGATAGAGTGAGTTAACTTTTTGTCTTAGCGATGCACGGATATCCAACACACAAACAGAGAGAGAAGTAAAAAGATTTGATATTTTTATGTGGAAAACCCGAAGAGAAAAAAACCACAGGGCCTGGCCCAAGTGAAAAGATTCCACTAAGTTTGAGTGAATTACAAAGGTTGCCCCATCACTTGACTTAGAAGCGGTCAAATTACAGTAGTTTGGAGAGTTAGGCAAATGTTTGGTGACAATCTTGCGGAATATCCGATGGCCTTCATGCAGAAGTTCAGCTGATGGGTAATGATCCAACAAAGGTCGGGTGGAAGTCCAACAATGCTCGGCTACCAGGTGGAAGTCCAGAGGCAGGCGACGGTTCAACGGTGATCCGATGAAGGTCGGACATAAGTCCGGAGGAGGTCGACAACTAAGTAAAAGTTCGGCGGCAGTCGATGGTCGAGCGACGGTCTGAAGACGGTCGGGCTAAAGTCCGTCGGCGGTTGGTGGCCGGGAAGTGGTCAGTGTTCGGACGGTGGTTCGACAATGGTCGGGCTGAAGTCCGGTGGCGGTCGGTGGCCATGTGGAAGTCCAGCGGTGGTCGACGGCTGGGCGATGCTCCGACGAAGGTCAACCTAAAGTCTGACGGTGGTTGGTGGCCGGATGGAAGTCTGGAAGCGGTCGGCGGTCCGACAGTGATCCAACGAAAGTCAAGCTGAAGTTCAGAGGCGGTCGACTACTGGGAGGAAGTCCGGCGGCAATCGGGAGCCAGACGGTGGTCTAACGACGGTCGGGCTGAAGTCCGGCAACAGTGTAATTGGCGTGTGTATTGAAATATTGATTAATCAATTAAGAGAAATGAATTGATCAATGATATGCTCACATTTATAGTGTCAGACTTGATCCATATCAATTAAGTAACCCTAATCTACTAAGTCAATGACAGAATAAAAAAATGAAGTTTAGGTATAGTGTGTGGCATATGAAACATAGTATTTAGTCTAAATAGAAATAAATGATGCAAAATACAATGGTCAATAACACATGATGGTTTAAAACTTGTCAACTTAACTTTGAAGGTTAACCCATGTCGGTAGTATCTCATACAACTTACTTTAATTTTTTTAGAGTTTGATGGATGGTTGTGAAACCAATTAAATATTGAAATGACACATCAAGAGTGGGGTAAATTGATATTTTTTAAAAAAGATTCAAAATCTTTTTGAATTTAAAAATAAATTCAGAATTTAATGCAGAAGCGAATAAAATAACAAATTTAACTTTTTTATTTTCTAAAAAAAATAAGTAACAAATTTTTTGTTCATTTTATTTATTCTGATTTTTTTTTAAAACAAATATAAATTATAATCAATTACGATGATTTTTGTATTACATTAATAAGCAAACTCAAGTCAAATTGTAGAAAAGTAGCTATACGGGAAAGTAAAAAATTGCAGAGTAAATGCGAAGAGAAAAAGAACAAAATGAATTTTTATAGTTGTTCGATCAACTTGAAATATGTCTACTCCCTTAAGTCATCTTCAGGTATTGCACTAATTAATAGTGACTCTCCTTTAGCCTCATGGCTAGGCAAGGAAGCCCTTACAGACGCAAACTCAAATCACTTTCACCTCCATAGTGATGCGGAGTAGTCGAAATCATTTTCACCTCCTCGATGCGGCAGAGTGCCGAAATCCTTTTAACCTCCTCAGTGTGGCGGCGAATCGAAATTCCTTTCACCTCCTAAGTGTGGTTGGGTAACCGATGGCTTTTAACACCAAATGATTCTTCACAGAGCTTCCCTTAAGGAAAATATTGACACATGTAAGAACTCGGGTGCAAGTTTGTTTGAGCAACCTTGCGAATACTCCTGTTCATATATTAATCATTAAAATTGTATAGCTTTTCATGTATTTTTATATATCATATATTTTGTAGATATATTTATATTATTTATTTTATAATATAATATTTGTATGATAAAAAAAATTAAGTATGAATAAGAAATTACTAACATGAATCTAACTGTTTTATTATTTTACCTATGGAATAAAATTAACTAGCTATTTATATCACGAATCAAATATTAAAAAAATTTTGGGTAAGATCCGCCAAAGCGGATAGCCTTAACCGCATGTGATCGGTAACAGAAAAAGCCCGAAAGCCGTTCCCGTCCCTGTCTGGGGAGATGCCAACCGTCTCTCCTTTCAACGAACACATTTTAAATTTATTCGCGTCATATTTTATTTAGAATAAGGAAAGTAAATTCCAAACGGTGTGGGACTAATTCGGTGACCTCCGCGGCTTGCGATTATAATTGAATTATTCGATAATTTCTCTTTTACAACTCCGATCAATCTGAGCTACCAGAGTTTCCACCCGCGCCTTGCTGGAACCCGTCGGAGCTGCTACGGAGACCCTGCAGGAGGCGAGCACATCGGTTGAGCCGGCGTAGTTCATTGACGATACTGTAAGAGGCGGACTAAGTTGTGCGGAGGAGGTGAGCTCCTGATGAGCATCCTATGTTTCTAGATCTTAACGGATTTCAACCAGAAACTCAGATCATCGCGGGAAATTGTTCTGCGAAGGATGAAGGAGAGTGGAATCTGGAGTTAGCGATAGCTGGATTCTCAGAAGCGATGGAGAAGCTCTGCGATGCGATCAGGGAGGTTTTATTGCCTGAAATTAAACAGAGGAAGCGACGAAACTGGAATGATGGCGTCTTCTTCTCTTCTCTTGTCCTTGATATCCTATCATATGATGAGCTTCCTATGTTTCTAGATCTTAACGGACTCGTTGGAGGTGGCCGCTCAACCAGAAGCTCAGATCATCGTGGGAAATTGTTCTGCGAAGGATGAAGGAGAGCGGAATCTGGAGTTAGCTCTAGCTGGATTCTCAGAAGCGATGGAGAAGCTCTGCGATGAGATCAGGGATCTTTTATTGCCCCAAATTGAACAGAGGAAGCGACGAGGAAGCGACGAAACTGGAATGATGGCGTCTTCTTCTTCCTTGTAAGCGCGGGGGAGCTGACGCTGGCATTCTTTATCGGTGCTGCGCTGGTCTCCGATCTCCTCACCGCGGTGGCTGCAGAAGGCTACCTAATCTTGAATAACTTGTCGGAGTTCAACGGACCTGCTCCGGCGTGATTCAGTCGGTCAGCCGCTGGAAATGGTTACCAGAAAAGCAACATATTCGTTACAATTTTTGGTTATTTGTTTTGAAAATTAGTAGTAATCAGATGATTAAAAAACTGAAGATAATTTCTACACTTAATAGTTGAACTGAATGTATCACCAAAACAACTCCATCAACACTACAATTGATTCAATCTGATTCAAAATGAGTTCAAATCAAGCACTTGAAATAAGCTTGAAAGTTTTAGAGCATTAATTGAAGGACCAAATACTTTTCAAATTTTATATTTTTATAGTCAAATCAAGCGGCTAAATAAGATGAATCCAATGAGCCTTGGCTCATTCGATTCATGCATCATTAAGGCACACAAATGCAAAATAAATGATTTATAATCACCGGAACTAATATGAACCAGTCAATATAATGTTTTAAAATTTGGTCAAATTTATCTAAATACCCCTTTAAAAAGCTATTAATATGATCTAATTTTCTATAGAAGGAAAGGTTTGAGAGCTGAGTGAGTTAAACAACATTATTATATTTTGGGTGATTTCTACCGACGACTACCATCAATAATCATAATCATCATTGTCAGATTTCTATCATTTGGTCCAGAAATTTTGATCATGAGATCAAAAAGTAAAATATGATTCAATTAAAAAATATATTTATGAATTTAAATAAAATAAAATTCAAATCATGAAAGAATTTTAAAAATCATAAATTCTAATTTTTGCAAGAAAAATTATGTGAGCTTACTTTCATGGACTTCTACACATAACATACCTTAACTAAATTTATGATGTGTCTAGAGCTCTATTGCACGTGACTTGATCCAATTAAAGTGATTTCATAGCTTCTTTGACCATCTTAGTATACCATGTTATTATAAGAATACATAACGCCATCTGTATTTTATATGTAATTTACGTTTCAGTATTTACCGTATTGACCTGTGTAATCTATTATAAAGCTAAGACCATTGTATTCAGTACATGTATGATTAATAATATTTTTCCTTGTCCATCTTCTTCAGCGTTTCCTCCGTGTCCTTCTCCTTCTTGTTCTTGCTTCACCTTCTTCCTCTGATCTTTCTCTCATGGTATCAGAGCTCTCATGGGAGATCAAGAATCAAGGAGTGTTCTGACTCCCTCCTCCTCCCCCTCCACTCAAACCACCGCCACAATCAACAACATCCCACAGCCATTAAAATTTCTTGTTTCAAATATCAAGAACTTAGCCCCTCATCCCCTAACGACGGAGAACTACCCCATTTGGCGTATCCAGCTTCTCTAGCAATTCTCGGCCAACGGTTATGCCGGCCACCTCACCGGCGCCATCAAACCCCCAGCCGATCCAACATCTGCCGAGCACGCCCAATGGCTCCTAGTAGACAGCAACCTACTGTCGGCAATCTTCTCTACCGTTTCGCAGCCGATCTTGCCCTACATTATCACGTCCACCTCTGCCAACGACGCGTGGACCACTCTTGAACGCAGACTTCAACCGACCAGTCGTTCTAGAGTAATGCAACTCAAGAACGAGCTGTATCGCGTTCAGATGAAAGATCAAAACATGCAGCAATATCTCACGCGTATCAAAACCATCGTGGACAACATCACGGCGTCCGGCTCACAAATTGACTCCGAAGACATAATGCTTCATATCTTGAATGGACTCCCGCCCACCTTCAATTCGTTCAAATCTACGATTCGTAACTCGCTGCTCCCAATTGATCTTGACACCTTCTACTCCATGCTCTGCAATGAAGAAATTCATCTGCAAAACGAGCTGAGTATGGAAACCACTTCGGCCATGGCTCTATATGCTGGATCCCTCAACAATTCTCGCACTCGCTACTACACCAACAAGTGCTATGGCAAACCCAAGAATCCTCCTTCTTCCACTACCGTGCCGAATTACAATCAACCTCCGTCAACCCTTCAGAACGCAGCAAGACCCACATGCCAAATTTGTGGAAAAGTCGGACATATAGCGTTGAACTGTTGGCACCGGAACAATCCGAAATACGCTCCGACGGACACTCGACCGCCTCGTGCTCTCTTCGCCAACCCGAACAATGCTGGCAGCCAGGACTGGGTTCTTGACTCCGGGGCCTCCGCTCATCTCACTCCGGACATCACTCATCTTTCCTACCCGACTTCCTATCAAGGGACGGACAACATCTCTACTGCAAACGGCTCTACTCTTCCCATACAAAACACCGGTCAGGGTCTGCTACCTCTCCCGGACACGACTCGTAAGCTTCATTTACATAATCTTCTTCACGTGCCGTCTCTAACTCACAATCTCATTTCTGTTTCTAAACTTACCAAAGATAATTCGGTTTCTATTACCTTTGATGCTAACGGATTTGTTGTGAAGGATCTTCGGGATCAACTTCCTCTGTTGCTTGGTCGGCTACATAATGGACTTTACAAAATCAGCTTTCCTCAAGACGACAGTCACGCTGCCCTCACGACCACCTCCTCCTCCATTCCCTGGCACTCGAGACTCGGTCATCCCCATCCTGAAACTCTCTCTGTGCTTGCTCGACAGTTCCCTGATCTTGCTTTTGTAAAACAAACAAATTACTGTGACTCTTGTAATAAGGCAAAAAGCCACAAAATCTTCTTTAATAAAAGCATTTCCGTTACTTCCAAACCGTTTGATTTGATTCACACCGATGTTTGGGGTCCGGCCCCTTTAATCTCTCTTGACGGTTTTCGCTATTACATCATCTTTATCGATGATCACACACGTTTCTCTTGGATCTATTTTCTCTCAACCAAACAGGAAGTTCTTTCGGTTTTTAAAAACTTTTGCAATATGATTCGAACTCAATACAACGTCACTCCCAAAATTCTTCGCTCCGATGGTGGCGGGGAATACACCAGCAATGCTTTTAAAACCTTCCTGCATAACAACGGCATCTTACAGCAATTGTCCTGTCCTCACACGCCGGAACAAAACGGATTAGCGGAACGCAAGCATCTCCATCTTTTAGACATCATTCGCGCGTTACTCCTTGAATCTGGTCTTTCACACCGGTTTTGGGCTGAGGCGATCTCGACCGCAAACCATCTCATTAACATGCTTCCCTCCAAAGCCATCTCCAATAAAATTCCTTCACAATCTCTTCATAACACTTCTCCCAATTATACCACTCTCCGCACTTTCGGATGTTTATGTTATCCCTGGCTTCGCCCCTATGTCCTCGACAAGTTCTCCCCGCGATCTCAAGCCTGTGTCTTCATTGGGTACTCTTCTCTTCACAAAGGATATAAGTGCTACAATCCTTCATCTGGAAAAACTCACATCACCCGTCACGTTGTCTTTCACGAACATCAATTTCCTTACAAACACAGTTCTATATCCGATCACCCTCACATTTCTTCTCCTACAGCTCCCATTCCTCCATCACTTCTCATACCCACTTCCATCACCTCAAAATCCTTGCCTACTACTCAAAGCTATCAAACCATTAATCCCACCGCACCCATTCACAATTCCACTACCTTCACGGACACTATCTCTCCGGACATCATCACAGCACCTCCTTCCGCTATTTCCTCCCAGTCTTGCACCCCTCCGCGTCAGCCTGCACACCAAATGCAGACCCGATCCAAATCGGGTATTTACAAACCCAAACAAGTCTTTAATCTTCTAACTCCCGTCACTACCCCGCTCACTCCGACTTCCTACAACCAAGCCGCAAAGTCAGAACATTGGCGGCACGCGATGCTAACAGAATTCAATGCCCTCCTTCAGCAAAATACTTGGACCTTGGTTCAGCCACCCGCAGACAAACCGGTACTCGGTTGTAAATGGACTTACAAAATTAAAACTCTACCCAACGGTGACATTGATCGTTACAAGGCTCGTTTGGTCGCACTTGGTTATAATCAGCAACTTGGAGTCAATTACAACGAGACGTTCAGCCCCGTCGCCAAGATGCCCACCATACGTCTTCTCCTCACCCTCGCTCTTCATCGGCACTGGCCCATGCATCAACTCGACATCTCCAACGCGTTCCTTCACGGTGATCTTCCGGATGACATATACATGCGTCAACCACCCGGCTTCATCAATCAACACAACCCGAATGCGGTTTGCAAACTTCACAAATCTCTTTATGGACTCAAGCAAGCCCCGAGACAATGGTTCCAAAAACTTACGAGCTTTCTTCAATCCAAAGGATTTACCTTCAGCCGTGCCGATCCATCCCTCTTAATCCTCGACACTACCACTACGAAATTGTTTATTCTCATTTATGTCGATGATCTGCTAGTTACAGGTAACAACCCCCTCGCCATCCAGCAACTCCTACAACAACTGCGGTCTCATTTCGCACTGAAACAACTGGGCAATATTTCTCTATTTCTCGGAATCCAGGTAATTCAATCCACCTCAGGTTACTTCTTATCGCAAAAACACTATGCCTCAAAACTCCTTAATGATGCAGGATTTGCAAACTGTAAACCGGCTCCGACGCCAATAGCGCCCGACTCAAAGAGATCTACCTCTCCAGCCCAACCGTTCCACGATCCATCCCTTTATCGTCGTCTAGCGGGCTCGCTTCAATATTCATCAATAACGAGACCCGACATAGCCTTTGCCACTAATTGCATTTGCCAACATATGCAACAACCCTCGATTACAGACTTCAAAGCTCTCAAACGTCTCCTTCGCTACATCAACGACACCCTTTCTTACGGCCTGCCCATCACCATTGGATCCCTACAGCTGCACTCTTATTCCGACGCCGACTGGGCGTCCGACTCAACTGACCGAAAATCCATATCAGGATTCTGTACATTCCTTGGTCCCAATCTAATCTCTTGGACGGTGAAAAAGCAAGCTACGGTCGCCAAATCATCTACCGAGGCCGAATACCGTTCCCTGTCCGCGGCTACTTCCGATGTCCTCTGGCTCCGTCGACTAGCAACCGAGCTCCTTCTACCGCAAACTGAACCTACCACCATCCATTGTGACAACACTTCCGCAATTGCAATCGCTAAGAACCCGGTTTTTCACGCACGCACAAAGCACATTGAGATTGACTGGACTTCTACACATAACATACCTTAACTAAATTTATGATATGTGTCTAGAGCTCTATTGCACGTGACTTGATCCAATTAAAGTGATTTCATAGCTTCTTTGACCATCTTAGTATAACATGTTATTAAGCTGAATCGAGCTTGTCGTGATTCTTGTCTAATTAAAATATTTAATTAACATATTAAATTATTCAAATATATATTTGTTATCATCAAAATTCAAATAATGAACGTTGAGCTTCACAGAGCTAATAGTCATGAGAGTTTGCTGGTTCATGCATCGATGAACTAATTACCTACGAAGGAGAAGAGGCGACTGTGGTAGTTGGTTGACGGCATGTAAAATAGTTCATGACAGAAATCGTTGGGGGCAGACATCGATGAATCAATAATGTGTGAAAGAAAAGAATAGTTGGCAATGGGTGTTGCTAAGGACAAGCATGGCCAAGACCAACAATGTGCAAAGGAGAAGAGGAGTTCGTCCTCGATGGGTTTGAACATTGACAGTTTCAAGTTTTGATTTGAATGACATACCATGTGAGAGTTCTAAGCCAATTCAAATCAAGATTTGATACTTTTTTTTTAATATGGTTTGAATTTTTTGTTTGATTCAAGTTTGAACAAATGCTCAAATCAAATTCAAATTAGTTCAAATTAGTTTAATAAGAACTTGTTCGAACAATCTTTGAATGATTAAGGTTTCGTTTCCAAACCTATTGCTTCTTAAAGTAGTTTCCAGTACAAAAATTCTAACTTTTGTATAGAAAAACTGCTTTAAGAAGTAGTAAGAAAACCATCCCAAATAAAATCTAAGTCCAATAAACAGTTTGTGAATACATGATATTATTCCTCGTTTAGGATATTTTATCAAAATAAAAATTTTCAATAGGATTTCTTCAAATAAATATATTTTGAATATTCAATTATATGTTTTCTGAATCATGTGAACTCTATTTTTTTTTCTGAAAAATGAAATGATTTCAAAAAAATAAAATAGAATTAAAAAAAATTTCTCATAAAACATTTTTTTTTAATAAAATTCTGGTAAAAAAAAGACTCCTATGCCATGCCATGTCGTCGGTTGGATTCTAGTGTTTCTTTCTGATATCCCTGCCCGCGTCACCGCATTAGCGAGAGACCGGAAAACAAGCGCGCTCCTCTCACCGTTGCCTTCTCCTTTGTTTTCTCTCGCTCTCTCTCTCCCCCCTTGTCTCAGTAAAGTTTATTTCTTTCTCTCTCTTCGCCTCGTCTGCCCTGAGAGAAGAATGCCGAAGAGGACGACGCACACGTACTCGAGTGAGGACGCGGCACCCGATGGTCCCGAGTCCGATCTCTTCGTCTACTACTGCAAACACTGTAGCTCCCACGTCCTTATTACTGGTTTGTTCTGCTAACCCTGCCTGCACTTGTCAATCTATTCCCAAAATCGGACTGTAACCTAGGCCTTATTTCATTCCCCACTGATATCTATTCAAAATTACTTTCTTGTTTGAGCAACCGGTTGTAATTTTTCTTCCATCATGTTAGTTTTGTATCCCATATGCATCAATTTTGTTCTTGATTACTTAAGAGGCCCTTTTTGTGACTTCAATTGGTAATTGCTGAGAAGAGTAGAACTTCTGAGCCCTTGCCACTGGCACCCAAAATAGTTAAGTTAAATGGATTAATAGATGGAAAGCGTTTGTGCTCCCTGATTAAAGGTGACTTCTAATCTAGCAAAAGCTATTGTGGACTAAAATCATCTTTATATTAGTCCTTAAGGTTACAATTAAGCTCGAGAACATGAACACATGTTAGAAAACTTATCTCCATTGGCTGCTTCCACAATCAGTGCTACTATTTAACAGTGATATCCGAGCTAGATTTTAATTCTGAAATTTCATCATTAAAAATGACGTTAATAAGCTTGTAGCTACTGCCAAGGAAGAGCCTTAGGGCATCTCCAACCGAACTCCAAACGCTTGAATGGCGTTGCTCGCAAGCTCCAGCGGTAAAACTTCCGCTATTTGATTGCGGGTGAACAGTGGGGCGTTGCACTGTTCATCTGCGCTATTTTTTTGTCTCTGCCAAACTTGCTGAAGAATTGTGTGAAAGAATAGAACGACCGTTACTTTCCCAAAAGGGGGAAAAATGGAGTTCGATTGGAGATGAATCACGACATTTTTAGTTTCACGGTATTTTGGAGTGAAAAATGAGATTTTCGGTTGGAGATGCCCTTGGAGTGGACATAATTGATGTTTTTGGTTACCTTGTTACTCATATTTAATTAGATTTTTACATAACTCGCTTCCTTTGATGCCCACCATAGCCTCTCACATTTCATTTTACTCAACTACTATTCTTATTCATGCTGATGATTTGAACTGTAATATTTAAAGATGGAGGGAACTAAATTATAATATGTATTTTTGTCAAAGATACCCAGTTACAGAAGCTGCCAAAACGTAAGACTGATAAGGCCAATGTACTGGACAAGATGAAGCATCTTGCTAGATTGAATGTTAAGGAAGCAGGCAAAGTTCTTCTTAAACGGTAATATCTGTTTTTTTAATATCCGTTACTTGCACTTGTTCTAATTCAGTATATTTTGCAACTCATGCTATGATAGTTCTATTGAGTTCAATGCAAAATTTTAATTGCAAAAATTTCGCTATCTGATGTCAAAGTTCTTAAGTTGTTCATGAGTTCTCTTAAAAAATAGGTGCATAATTCCTTTCTGAATCATAAATCAAAGCTCTACATTTCTAGAGATTTCAACTAGAATAATATTACATAACTATTTTTTTATATTTAGAAAGTTTTTTGTTCATCAGAAAAATGGCTTAACAATGACCATGGTAGCACAATTGTGTTCAATATGAAAATCTTCCTTTAGATTTCAGTTCCTTAATTCATGTATGACATCTCTTTTGATACCCTATGTACAAATCATTGATAAGAACTCATGTTATCCATATGTTTGTCAAACGCACACAAAAATACATGTAATTTAAAATGGAAGGTTAAAAAAGTAGTTTAGTTCCCACATATACTATTTTTGCTAGAACAGGATGATTAACAATGTCCTCGATAACATTATCAACATAAGGAGGATTATAGTAACTTGAACTTTTCAACTAATAAGTTAGGGGAGACTTATCATCAAAGTAAAGATAAAGTAAAGATAAACTTATCAACATCTTTAGCAAATTTATTGCCATGAAGGGTATAATGGTAAATTTTACTCTTTGGATAATGTGTATGGCACTTACAATAGGATTTACTGGAGTCTTTCATATTAGATTTTGTTTCCCCAATCATAAAGAATCAATTTCATAATGAGCTCATCAAGTTTACTCATAATATTTTTGATTTCACATTTATTTATGCTAATCTTGGGTCTAAGTTTTATTGCCTCTTGTGAAGAACCATAGTCATGATTATATTTGAAACTTTGTTTAGATTGTGAGATGATTAATAGATAAGCTACATATGTATTAATGCAGCAAGCACAATGTGCAGACTAAATGGAATGATATGAACATGTTATTAAGCTAACAATAGAAAATAACTCACACAATATTCAAATTTTAATGCTATCTACTCACTTTATGAAATTGCTTAGCATAGTTCATTTTCCATGGTTGGCTGCAATTTCATTAGATCACTCTCACAATAACTTGGTATAGAAGGCGAAGGCTTGCAATAGGGTCAATGTATTTTTAGTAGATCCTTCTTAGCATAAGTCCTGTGTGTGACGCAAGATCTATCAATTAACATAAATTCAATCCAAACTTTCTAATTTAAGGATTATAATTTCTAAGGGTAACAATCAATGTTTCGTTAGCTACAAAAATCCCCTTTGGAATATGCTCTCTTGGATGACCTAGTTGTGTAGGAGACTTACTGCTAGTTGCCTTCTATAAATAGTGTTGCAGTCCAGTCACTGTTCCTGCCAATGGCTGGAAGAACATTGTATGGGGTTCCAGGAGTCTTGTTTGGCTCCCTGTGAATTGGTTCACTACTTGGCCCAGTCTGGGAATGTCGGTTCATGTCTTCTTTGGTTTGATTTTCCCAATTGAACTGTTTCTCCTTGGTTCAAAATTGATTTAGGTTAATATCGGTTTAGGTATATAGATATATTGGATAAAAGTTGGAGGATTCATGGTAATTTAAATTTGTAAAGGGGGCTGCACTTTTTGTTGGGTTGCGGAAGCTGTTTAAAATTTGAGTTTTTGATATTTGGTGGTGATAGGTTGACTGATTGGATGGTAAGGCTGTAGGGAGGGCTTTTCAGCTGCCTGGGAAGATGGACAAGGATTTCAGGTGATTGGCGGATGTTCAAGGTGACAGACAGTAGCTATTTTCAGTAAGGACCATAACCTCTAAAAGCCAAAACCACAAAACATAGGGAAACTAAGTGTAGATAATGCAATGAAGGCAAAGGTAAAAGTAAAGATTATAGCAGGAACTTGTTTAGCAAGATTATACCTTAATGTGATACCAAATAGATTCAATGAAAAGAGGTTATTCATCGCATTGGTAGTGGCAAAGTATCATGATGCGATTAAAAAAATTTTTGTTGCAAATTATATAGAAAACTAATTTATATATTTTGGCTAGAATTCTTAGGAAAAGGGGGGTGGAGGCTATAGATTATAGAAAACTATTGATTATAAAAAACCTGGAAGAGCCCACATTCTTGTTGCTTTAATGAGGTAAGACCCGTGAGTTGAAGTGGATAATTTTCTTTTATATGATAGGTAGAAACGAATGCCAAGGTCTATTATTTTTTCTAAACTGTGAAAAATAATGTTTTCTGCTATAATGAATTACATGAATTTCACTTGATTCTCAAATTGAAGTTGAATTTGACCTTATGGGTGTTTATTTTGAATATTTCTTATTCAGTGGTGAGGGAAAACTTGAAAAGCAATTCCGCATGTCTTGTGTGGGTTGTGAACTTCTGGTTTGCTACCGATCAGAAGAGGATTTGGAGCTTGCTTCTTTAATTTATATCGTTGATGGCGCACTTAGTTCAGTAGCAGCAGAAACAAACCCACAGGTAAGAAATAAACACCTGGCATGACTTTCTTTGTCATCAATATAATTCTTTTGGTTTGCATAGATTTCTTGTTTTTCTGCTTGTATATCGTCCTCTTCATTCTTTTGTTAAATAAATACTTTGTTAGTTTGTGCCTTATTGCAGAAGAGTGAATGTAAGAATTTTTTGGTGATTTAAAAACTTGTGTCAACATTGAAATGTTTTCAAATGAACTTTATATTCTGTCTGAATTTCAATCATGATTTTTCGGCAATTTATATTACATTTTCAGTTTCAATTACAAGTGAAAATTTTGTGAAGTCGGGCTGTTTTGCTCCATTGCTTTAGTTTTTGGACCTTAGTGGAAGCTAAACATTTTAGGCTTTGTTTGGAGCAATGGCTGTTGCAATTCAAATCTTGCGGTGGTTCCAGTAATTGCATTATGGTTGGGCATCAATCAGATATCAGTGTTACTTTCAAATCTTCTATCTAATTTGCTTGAAATATCTACTCTGAAAACCTGTATACATAGGGTCCTTGACAGCTAATAACAAAAAATGCACGGAATAGATGTGCTGGAAAGACATTAATCACCTAAAATTTCATTAAACTTAATACCATTTCTCCCTTGTCACAATGATATTAATATCCATCTCACTCAGAACATATTGTCCAGCAAATTGGATAGATGTTGATCCTTTTGTTGTTCCAACTTGCTGTATTGTGCAATTGAAGTAGAGCTTATTTCTTTGACTTATACAATGGGATCCTTACCTAGATAGGAGTATGATAAGCCTTGAATATTCTCTCAAAGGGCGATCTCTTAGAAAAGTGAATATCTTTCCTATGAGCCCCTTTGGTCTGTAAGAGAAAACATTGATGTAGTTCTGAAGGTAGTTTATGTTCATTTAATTAGATTTTGACCAGGGTTTATTTAGATACGAGTTTGATGCTACCTATAGGCATAAGCCCTAATAGATATTTTCTCCACTTGTTCTCGAGAGAGCACTCATAATTTATTAGGTTACATAGGATCAAATTTAGGCCTAAATTGAGTTTTAGATGTGAATTTAATTGAGTGAAAGTGGTTAAGGCGATGAAGATAAACCCAATCAATAGCACATAGTTTTGTTATTCCTGGTGTATTAACAAACTCGGTCTATCAACATAGAGAGATTTGAACCATAATATTCAAACTTTTGATTAGCAACATCATGGGTTACGTCTACTTAGGTATCCCGAGCAAATTAGGGTGGAAATGTGATTGTTAAATATTTGTTTTCAAAGTTAGAATCTATTCGTTTGGTAGTAGAGGGCTAGTCATGCTAGTTTTCATTGATTAGTTCAAAAGCATAAAGCATGTCTAATAGGAAATACTTGATTTCAAGTAGTTCCTAGTCCAAATCTGAAGTAGAACAAGGGAAAACTGCAGTTTTCTCCAATGGACAGCAGTTTTTAACAAGAAAACAGTAAGAGATTGCGGGAAAACTGAGATTAAACTCAAGCAAAGGCTTGTATTTTACTAATAGACGAATAAAATAGCGAAGAAACAATTTGTTCTTCAATCCGAGAGGAAGAACAACTCTCCAATCTCCGGCAACGCCAAGAGCCCAAAGCAAGAAACCCTAGATCTCAAATTCACATTCAAATTCAAGATGAGGAGCCAATTCCCCCCAATCTCCTAATTAAACAAATTAAGCATAAAGGACAATAATAAACTTCCTAAAATAGCCCCCCACATTCAAATTTTCCCTCTTAATAACAATTAAGACAAGTTTGGCCCACATTAAGACAAATTTCCCCTCTTGATTGTTAAATATTTGTTTTCAAAGTTAGAATCTATTCGTTTGGTAGTAGAGGGCTAGTCATGCTAGCTTTCATTGATTAGTTCAAAAGCATAAAGCATGTCTGATAGGAAATACTTGATTTCATGTAGTTCCTAGCCCAAATCTGAAGCAGAACAAGGGGAAAACTGCAGTTTTCTCCAATTGACAGCAGTTTTTCACAAGAAAACAGTGAGAGATTGCGGGAAAACTGAGATAAAACTCAAGCAAATGCTTGTATTTTACTAATAGACGAATAAAATAGCGAAGATACAATTTGTTCTTCAATCCGAGAGGAAGAATAACTCTCCAATATCCGGCAACGCCAAGAGCCCAAAGCAAGAAATCCTAGATCTCAAATTCACATTCAAATTCAAGATGAGGAGCTAATTCCCCCCCAATCTCCTAATTAAACAAATTAAGCATAAAGGACAATAATAACCCCCCCCTGTCTGTTCCTCCTGTAATAGATTTGGACCAGTCTAGGCTGGACCGGTCCAGCCGGCCCCACCTGGGCCGGCGACACATCAATACTTCCCTTCCAATGACTCACCTTGTCCTCAAGGTGGAAGGTATGAAATTGATCTATCATTCTATCCATTGGTTCCCACGTGGCGTCGAAATCCGGGAGGCCTCTCCATTTAATCAATACTTCTTTGTTGTCCTTTTTGTTTGAACGGACTCCTGCCATCTCTAGTGGTTCTAAAACCACCTCTAAGTCCTCCGTCATGTTGTCTGGAAGTTCTTCACTTGTGGCATGTTCCCCTATGGTCCTTCTCAGCTGAGACACATGGACACTGGATGTATAGTGGCTGATGGGGGTAACTTTAGTCAGTACTCCACCGCACCAATCCTATTCAACACTTCATAAGGCTCAAAGTACCTGGGTGCTAATTTATGATTCCTTCTTCTTGCCACTGTCTGCTGTCGGTAGGATCGTAGTTTCAAGAATACCTTCTCCCCCACTTCAAACTGCATATCTCTCCTTTGTGAATCTGCCTGCTTCTTCATGATCTGTTGAGCTATCATCAAATGTTTCTTCAAATCTTTCAGTACCTTGTCTCTTTCTTTCAAATACTGCTCAACTGATGACACGGGTGTACTACCTCTCCCACAATGCACTATGTGTGGAGGGTCCCTTCCATATAGCACTTTGAATGGGGTCATCTGGGAGGCAGAATGGTACGAGGTATTGTACTAATATTCAGCCCAAGGCAGCCACTTTGTTCACATCCGCGGAGTCTTCGACACAAAACACCTCAAATAGGTCTCCACACTTCAGTTCACCACCTCCGTTTGCCCGTCTGTCTGTGGATGGTAGGCGGTGCTTCTCTTGAGGATAGTGCCCTGCAATCGGAACAACTCATTCCAAAATTGACTAAGGAATACCTTATCTCGATTCGTCACTAACAATTCAGGAACCCCATGCAGTCTAACAACCTCCTTGATAAATGTTGCTGCCACTGACACTGCGGTGTAGGGATGTCGTAAGAGGATGAAGTGTGCATACTTACTAAGTCTGTCCACCACTACCATGATGACAGTGTATCCTTCTAACCGTGGTAATCCATTGATGAAGTCCATGGACACTTCCTCCCAAACTTTGTTTGGAAGTGCCAATGGTTGTAGCAGCCCTCCTGGCGCCATGGCCATGTATTTGTTCCTCTGGCACACTTCACACCTCGCCACCAGCTCCTCTACATCTTTATGCATTCCTTTCCAATAGAGTTCTGCTACTAGCCTCCTGTATGTCTTCTGAACTCCTGAATGGCCTCCAATTGCGCTACTGTGAAATTCCTGCAACAAGTTGGGAATGTGAATGGAGGTTCATGGCATAACAAACCTCCCCTGATACAGTAGTCTCTCTCCCTCAAGGCAGTATCCCGGATGGCTACTCTTATCCTTCTTTAGATCCTCCATGATCTTTCCCAATTCCTCATCTAACATGCTTTCTTCCTCGATGGCCCCCAGTCGACTATCAAGGGTACAGACAGAGCTAACCCCTGGAGTTCCCCCACACATTTGGATAGAGTGTCGGCTGCCTTATTCTCCAAACCAGGCTTATATTGGATCTCAAAATCATAGTCCATTAGTTTGGATAACCACCTCTGATGCTCTTCAGTCACCATCCTTTGCTCTAGCAAATACTTCAAGCTCCTCTGATTAGTCTGCACGATAAAGTGACTTCCCAAGAGATATGACCGCCACTTTTGAATAGCCAAGATGATGGCCATCAGCTCTCTTTCATACACTAACTTCAATTTAGCCCTGGCTGAAAGCACTTTACTGAAGTATGCTACTGGCCTGTGATTCTGCATCAACACTGCACCTAGCCCATATCCTGATGCATCCGTCTCTACTATAAAGACCTGACCAAAGTCTGGAAGAGCTAGAACAGGAACAGTCGTCATGGCTTCTTTTAACCTCTCGAACGCCTGGGTGGCTGCCTCTCCCCATCAAAAAATGACTTTCTTTAGTTGCTCAGTCAGGGGCCATGCAATGGTACCGTACCCCTTCACAAACTTCTTGTAGTACTCCGTCAATCCTAGGAAACCCCTCAACTCCCTGAGGTTCCTAGGCAGTGGCCATTTCTGCATTGCCTCAATTTTAGTTTGATCAGCTTCCACTCCCTCTTGGGAAACCACATGTCCCAAGTACTCCACACATGCCTGAGCAAAACTGCACTTCTTCAAGTTGGCTTTCAGCTGATGCTCCTGAAGCACTTCTAATACCACCCTCAGATGTTCCAAGTGCTCCTTCACAGTCCTGTTGTACACCAGGATGTCATTGAAAAAGACCAGGACAAACTTCCTGAGGTGCTTCTTGAATACCCGATTCATTAATGATTGAAAAGTTGTAGGAGCATTAGTCAATCCAAACGACATTACCAGAAATTCATAATGCCCTTCATTTGTCCTGAACGCTGTCTTTGGAACATCTGCCTCCCTCATTCTGATCTGGTGGTATCCGGATTTTAAATCCAGCTTGGAAAACATCACTGCACCATGCAGCTCGTCTAACATCTCATCAATCACAGGAATTGGGAATTTGTCTGGTACAGTGCCTTTATTCAGAGCCCTGTAATCCATACAAAATCTCCAACTCCTATCCTTCTTCTTGACCAGGAGGATTGGACTAAAAAAAGGGTTGTTGCTGGGTCTGATAATCTCCGCCTCCAGCATTTCCCGGATCAACTTC